CTTGTAACCTCCTGAGAACATTTTCCAGCTTCTTCCTGGATCTGGGACCCACACAGGTCTTGTCTGTGCTGAGCCTGGCTTTACTCAGGGAGGTCCTTGCTTTCATGCCCGCCCTCTGCTCAATACCCCTGCTCCCATCTTCACTGCTGTTTCCTGATATTAAAGCACAGCCAGTGTGGGTTGGTGAGGTTCTCGAAGCAGGGTATTTATGGAAAATAACACCTATTGACATTAGTGTTAAATTGCTGAGTGATCTGTCACACCTGTCATTGGAAAGGGCAATGGTGAATAGAAACTACTCATTGTCATCCCCCCTCGAGTGGTGCCCAGGACACTTGCCATATCTACTATACCTTAGACACACCTCTGGGCTCCGGTTGCCCTTTGGCATTTGAGACAAGAACATTCATGTCTCACACTCACCTCATAGATGGGAACACCAGCCCTGGGGCCATGCAAGGAGGTCTGGGGAGGAGAGAAAGAGGACAACAGGGTCAGTTATGGAAAGAGTTGTTAGGGCAGAGGTCCACTGGAGAAGGTGCTGGGTCCCAGTCTGGAGGGTTATTGTCCTTGACAGCCCAGAGTTCATCCTTCTGGGTCTTCAGGTCACTTCTCATCAGAGTGAAACTTCTGAGCATCAGTCTCCCAGCCTGTCACAATACTCCACCCTCCCTGCTGCAGCTCAATCCCTCACCCTTGTTAACATGGACCACTGACTGCTGCTCCCAGGGCATGCTCTATGATCCTTCTTGGACTCCAGGTCCTCTCTTAAGACAACTGAGTGGACACAGAGTGGGCTCAGGACAGGGTGTGGGGTAGTCCCTATCCTTAGCTCCTGGATAGTGTGTTGTCTAACTCTGTCCTAGCTTTTCTGGAAGGAGTCATGGGTCTGTGCTGTGTGAGCGGTTGGTCAGAACCCCTGCCCAGAGCCTACACATCTGGGACCCCTGGTGAAAGGGTGGGGGAGGGATGGGCTTACCAGGGCATCAGAGCTGGCAGATTGACCTTGACCTGGGGAGCAGAGACAAGGATTCACACTCAGGAGTGTAAAGGAGCTTGAGATCCCTTGGAGGAGGAGGAGCCATGGGTCCTCAGCCCCTAGAGGCCCAGGGAAGAGGGAGCATCTCCTGGAGAGAGAACTTTGAGCCATTTTAGGGGACAAAAGGGAGCAAGTGAGGCCAAGGAGTGGCCCTGGGCCCTGATTCCACAAGTTAGGGCTGACATGGCCACTCCGAAGCCCTCTGTCCTGATGGTTCTGAGCTTCTTTCTCTGAAGCCACAAGCAAAGGTCAGAGGCCCCAGGGGGTAGTGGACAAGAACGGACACTGTGGAGACGTCTCAGGGCACCTAGCTCGTCAAGCTGAATGTGCACTCACCGGGGGTAGATGCTAGGGGCCACTGATGTCCAAGGTCACTCTGGTCACTGGCCCTAGGAAAGGTTAGGTTATTTGTGAGGGTGCAGGGAGAGTCACAGTGTTTGGAGTCAGAACAGAGGTCAAAGAGGAGGACCCCATTTCTAGCAGGAGGTGGAGACCACCTGTCACCATCACTGTGGTTGTAGGAGGGGAAACCCCAAAGTGGGAAGCTGAAGAGGGGCTGTAAGAAGGCATATCTACCCTGCACCCAGAGGAAAAGGATCCTCAAGCAGATGGCAGCCCAGGAGAAAGCTGATCCAGAAGAGACCCAGAATCTAAGAAAGACATTTCTATGGACTTGGTTGGGCAGATTTGAACAAACACTAACTACCTCCTAGTCACCATTGTTGGTTTGTTGTGAATGAACTAGAACTACGCTGAGGTATGGGGCCAAAATTGCCCCTAATTTGTAGATGAAGAGACTGTGAGGACACAGTCTGAGGTCCACGCACAGTAAGAGAGGAGCCCTGATGGAAGGAAAGTGGGAGTTCTTGGGAAAGTGGGGGAGGCATGGAGAGCCAGGCCCAGGACCCAAGGATGGGAACTCCTCCCTTTTGGCCTGGGGTCAGCCCAGGGGCAGGAAGTGAGGTGGGGGAATGTGCCATCGTACCTTCTAGTCCTGGTGAGGAACAGGGCATATCCAAGGGTGACCACCAGAAGCACCCCAAGCAGGACCGCAGTCACGATGCCAGCGATGGTCCCAACACAGAAGGTCCAGTCTCCTTTAGATTCATTATCAGCAACGGACAGAGGTGGGGAGAAGACAGATTCATACAGTATGGCTGTGGAGTTCGCCCCATTGTGATTCAGCCTGCACTGTATCCCTATGAGCAGGTGGCTCTGGCATTTTTCCCAGGTGAAGATGACCTTGGGTGAGAGACCTTCTTTTTGCCAATGCTTATCTTCATCGGTTGTCAATAACAGTGGACCCTCTCCCTGCAGAGACTTTGAGGTCCAGAGCCCTGAACTACACTGCACTTGAAGGAGATACCACCCAGGAGGTCTGAGATTGGGTAGGGTCTGTGGGTCATGTGGGAGCTTCTCCAAGACTGTCCTTTCCCTCAGCAGTTGTTCCTTGACCCAGGTTCTCAGCTCTTGGGCTTTCTAACTCCTCTCCCCAACTATAAGCAGGGATTCCACAGGCACACTACATTACGTAAAATATATTTCATTTGTTTATTATTATCACTTGAATATCCCCTTGTCTATTGGTGCTCATGGTGCTCATGGTGGTGCCATGAGCAGAAATAACACCTGGGGAGACCAGGAGCAAGCATGGTGACCAGTTCAGTGATCAGACTGAGGGTTCACAAGTTGGGGGTCAGTTCCTCTGACTGACAAAAGCCCATGACACCATAAAAGGTAGAGCAGAATCCAACCAATGATCTTGAAAAGTGTGAGGGAATACCAGGGGCTGGCTGGCTTTGGAAGCAGCACCATATTTTCTACTCTTGGTCTTTACTGTCCCTTTTCCCATGGCAGAGGGCAGGTGAGGACCATGTGTATTGTTCCTGAAATACACATGGGCAGTTTTAAGTGCAGAAGGAGTAATTGTTGGAAAGTGAAGGGAGCATGAACTTGGTGAAAATCTGGTCCTTCTGGACCAGTTATGTTTAGCATATCTGTGATATAAATTTGGGGAGATGTTAAATTTCTTCCATATGTAAAAATTGTTATTAATGTACCAAATATATAAGATCCATTGCTGAAAGAATTGTTTCTCTAGAGAACACCTTGTCAGATATGTTGTTACAAAATATTTTTTCCCAATCTGTAGGTTCTCTTTTGACTCTTTTGGAGAAGTTCTTTGGAAGCACATAAACATTTAATTTTTAGAAGGTCCCAATCATCTGGCTTCTCTTCTGCTGTTGGTGCATTTTGAATTATGCTTGGTAGTCTATTTATACCAAATATTAGGGCCCTTAAGTTTGACCCTAAATTTTCCTTGAGAAACTGTATAGTTCTAGGTTTCACATTTAAGTCTTTGATTCATCTGGAGTTCATTTTTGTGTATGGTGTGAGGTACAGATCTTGTTTCATTTTTCTGCAAATGGATCTCCAGTTTTGCCAACACCATTTATTAAACAAACATTCTCTCCCCCATTTAATGGATTTTGGGCCTTATCTAAATGCAAACACCATGAATGGAATAAAAAAGGGGGTGTACACACAGCAAAAAGGTCCTGACCTGTCAAGCCTTATCTTTAAAATAAAATTAACCTCTCCCCACACCCAGATGTCAGAGAGGAATACTCACGGTATACATTGATCCCTCCAGTTATTTTTTCAACCTGAAAACCTTGCTTTATTATTTGTAAGGTGTAGATTCCTGTGTCGTTTTGGGTGACCTTCTGAATCATCAAGGATCCATTGTTGTAGACAGTCTCTCGGCCGCTGTAGGCAGGGCCTGTGCTGGTTGTTTGACCTTGTATGCTATACGTTAAAATACGAAGGCTGGGATCTTTAGCATCACCCCCTTTGTACCAATTGTAACCAATATGATCCTGTGGCACATTGTGGACAAGTAGAAGAACATGGCTCCCTTCAGCCACATTGAGGGGCACTGACTCAATAGCAGCTTGGGCTGAGATGGGCAGACTCCAGGAGAGTAAAAGTGAGACTAGGAGGGAAGAGAGAGAAGTCAATCAGCTTGCTGACGACTGTATTGGGAGGGAAGTTGGGGCCCTTGAGTCTGATCTGAGCAGGTCTCTCTCAGCCCTTGGGCATGGGGTGTGTGTGCTTCCCAAGGTCGGCGGCACTTTAGTGCCTTTGAACCTGTCATTTCCTCTTTTCAAATACTCTCCCTCAGGTGTCTGCCTGGCTGGCTCACTCACTCACTGCCCTCAGGTGCCTGCTCACACTCAGCATCCTTGGAAGCTGCCTTCCCTGATACCTTGTATGGTCAGTAACTACAGCCTCCCAAAATGGCTCTCAGATTCCATCTTGTCTAGCCACGCTCGTAAGAACTACAAGCCATTTCTCTTCTCCCTCACTGTCATGTATCCCCCTGGTTACCCCTGTCAGGTATTAACCACCTTTGCTGTAATGTATTAACTCATCCTTAGACTGTTGTTGTTGTTGTTATGTGCCGTTGAGTCAGACCCAACTCATAGTGACCCCTCCTTGGGTTTCCAAGGCAGTATCACTACAGAAGTAGATTGCCCAATCTTTCTTCCAAGGAGTGGCTGGTGGGTTTGAACCACCAGTGTTCTGGTTAGCAGTCAAGTGCCTTAGGCACTATGCTACCAGAGCTCCTATCCTTAGAATAATATTAAGCAATAAAGCTTGCTAACTGGCAGTGTCTTATCAGAGCACACACAGGTGGTGATCCGGGGCCCCCTCCCAATTGTGACCCAGTGCCACCCAGTCTGAAGTCAGTCATGTGGCCCTCTATTCCCAGTCACATAGCCCTATCCCCAAATCCTCACACTCAGGTATACATATCTCTGCAAAGTGAGAGGGGGTTGGCAGTCATCTTGGATCCACTCCAGCCTGCCACCACTGGATGCTAAATTGCTAGCAATGTTTGTGAGCCTACTTTCTTTTATCTTTTAAATCCTTTCTCTCCTGATTCTCTTTGTTTCTGTTCTGAATAAACATTCATGTCTCTGCCTGCACCTCTGGGGAAGTTTTTCAGACTGTTGTTACCTACTCAGGGGGAAGTTTTAACCTCCTTAGAATATTCCCATAACACACCTCATGGACAGACCCTCTGTCTTCACTTTCCCACCTTTCCCTGTTCTGTGTCTTCCATGGTGGTTATCAACACACCTGATGTCTTACCTAGATCTATTTGCTTGTCTGTCCCGCTCTCCCCTGGATGTGAGCTGTGTAAGGGCAGGGAAATGTCCTGTTCTGTGATGTACCCACAGTGACTAGACAGGCCTGCAAATACCTCAGGGATGAATCAGGGAGGGTTTGCAGGACCTATCCAAGATTTGGTGTTTATCTTCCATTTCTGAGATTGGTACGTAAGAGCAGTGTTTAATGCATCTTGTTAAGGCTTTTCTTAAATGTTACATTGACATAATTTTTATTACTTTCATAAGTAAGTTTTCAAAATTGATTGTTTAGGGATTATTTGGGAAAACATGCAGCAATTGAGGTTTTACTGCCCCTGACAATTCCAGTTCAGTGACATTTCCTGTTGCTCGGCCCTCCTTCCCCTTCTGTGTTTTCTCCACTGGAGTTGCACAGAGAGCTTTCTGTCACCTCTCAGACCCTTACCCTTCCCAGTAGACTCGAGCTGGTGTGTGTTCTCTTACCCTCTCCCATACCAGGGAATTGTCCCCTCTCACCTGTGAGCAGGGCCCCCTGCCAAGCAATATGGCCTCTTCTGGAAGGAGATAATGGAGACTTCATGGGTTGGTCTGTGCTGCTTGCTCTGTGCTTCCCTTGCTAGGGAAGAACTCCGGCTCCACAATCGCTCACAAATGCTGCTGCCCTAGACATGTCAGCTCTGCTGTCCTTCTTCCCTCTGCTCTGAGCCTCCTTCTAGGGTGGGAGCTTCCCCAGGTCATGCGGGTTGGGGACAGGTCTCCCTTAGAACTCCTCTCTCCTCCCCTCCCCTCCCTTTTAATTCTTTCCTCTAAGTTCCTCTTTCCCTTTCCTTCCTGTCTCCATTTAAGTGCTCTGTGTATTGCTGCTGCCTCTGTCTTCACAGGCTCAATCCTCCCCCCAACCCCACCACACCCCAGTTGTTGGGTGAGCACAACAGTTGGGGCCTCAGCCTCCTGGGCTGGGCGTTTCCCTGAGGTCTGGGTCAGGGTGCACTGTCAGCCCTCCCCTGCAGTTCTCTTTCAACTCCATTTTTGGTGTTTCCCCTCAGAGCAAGAGCTCAGGGGCTCTCTCAGGAACTCTGGTCACAGGGGATTTCTCCTGGCTGTACATCAGAATCACCCGTGGGACTTGATAAAGTAGCCAGGTGTCCAGGTGATGCCTCGGCGATGCTGCTTCAGCAGCTGCACAGGTGATGTCGATGGTGCCCAGCTGGGCTGAGGACCAGTGAGCTACGAGGTGGGCAGGCTTCTCACCCTCTGCTGTGCACGGAGATAGTCTGAGCGAAACAAAGCAAACCCACTGCCACTGAGTCGGTTCCAACTCACTGTGCCTCCACAGGACAGAGTAGAACTTCCTCATAGAGTTTCCAAGATACTTTACAGAAGCAGACTGCCTCATCTTTCTCCCACAGAGAAGCTGGTGGGTTTGAACCACTGACTTTTTGGTTAGCAATCAAAGGCCTTAACCACTGTGCCAGCAGAGCTTCTGAGATAGTCTAAAGATGCTGTTAAATGCAGATTCTGACTCTGTGGGTGTGAGGTGGACCTGTGAGTGCATCTGAAAGGCTCTTAGGCAATTGCAAAAAGCACATGGGGGTGGCATCTTCTGACTTCCTCTAACTTCACAAGGGGAGAGAGAATCACTGTCAGCTGCCCAAAGCTGATTCCTATGAGGCCAGACATACTGCCACCCTCCAACCTTTTTACCAGTTCTGACACGAACAGTCCCTCCCATGACACTCTTTACTTCTCTTCTGGGTTCGATAATTTGCTGCAATGGCCACACAGAACTAACAGGCAATATGTACGGTTATGGGTCTATTAGAGAATTAACAGGCTACAATTCAGGTTCAGGACCACACTCAGGATACAATTCTTTGATCAGGACAGTCTCCCCTCTGCTATGCTCTCAGGCATACTTCTCTGGCCCTTGACTTCCTTGACCTGGCCTCTGATCTGCTCAGGCAAGTGTTACAAAGCTCTTTCAGCTCTACTGATAGGTACATCTAAGTACATCCCACTCCACCAGCAAACCTCCTGCCCAAAGGCACTCAGCTTTTTCACTCTGTGGGCTGGCAAGCCCACCACTGTGTCTCGTGCCTCTTGGTTCCTCAATGGGTCATCTCAGCCAGTTGTCTCTGCCATCTGTCTCCCAAGGAGGTCTAGCACAGGGATCTCAGGTCCAAGGATGTGCCCCACTCCACCTCTAGCTCTTCCCTCTTGATGCCAGTGAGATTCTCCTTCTGCCTCTAGGAGGGCTTCTTAGAAGCCTTGCAGAATGACAAAACTGACCAATCCCCACATTAGGGTCCCATACACCTTATTTGCATAACTAAGCCCACAACTGTGTCTTGTACCTTATTTAAATTACTCACAGTCTACCCAGTCCCCTTGGTGGGCCACAAGTACCTTACATTGGCATAGTTACACCCAGTCATCTGGCGGAAGACACAAAGAACATGGCTAGGAGAGCCATAACAAGTAATTCAGTGCACCACAGCAATGCTGATTGTACTGGCCTGTGGACCACACTTTGAATAGCAAGGCTGTCGGGATGCTGTTTGTTCCCTGATAGGACAATCCTCCCACAGCAGCTCTGGCCTCTGTTGTCGCTGGTCTTGGGTCTGTCAGCAACAGAGAGCCCCTGGGATCCCTTAACCCAGGGATGCTTTTCCTCTGTGACTAGAAACTCAGCTAGGCACCCAAGTCCTTCCTGTGTTCTCAGCTGCACTAGGGAGACTTGATTTGCTTCCTGACAGAGAGTCATAGAGATGGCTAAAAGGGTCAAGCTGAGTGGTTATGAGTGAGAGGACCAAGCTTCTATCTCTGGTGTCACCAGCCTGGCCTCTGTTTCAGGAACAGAGATATAGGATCTGGGTGTCCAGGAGGGAGGTATAGTTTCTGGGACATGAAGGGGGAGCTGTGGGCTCCATGTCCTCAGGGAAAGGTTTTTGGGAGATCCTCTGTCTCTAGGGTCTGTTTGGCTAAGCTGTGGCTCAGAATCTGTCCACGTTATCCCCTACCATCTTGGGCAGCCTCGGCCCTCTTCCCAGTTACTTTCCTGTGGCCGTTGGCTTTCTCCATGGGTGAAGCCAAGCAGGGCAGGAGGTGCTGCACAGGGACCCAGCATCCCTGAAAGGAAGGGCAAGACAGAGCTGACACACAGGAGGGACACAGAAGGGTCTGGAGGGACACAGAAGTGTCTGTTGGAACAAAGGATGGAAATCAGGCCCCATCTCCATTTCCTTAGTGCAAAGCCAGGTTCAAGTCTCAGGGGAAATATTTTGTTTCCTGTGTTTCTTTGTCACCTAGAGGGCTCAAGGAGACCTGCAGCCAAAGTTAGGTGTTGCATCAAGGATGCTGACCAGGCTTCAAAGGGTATGTCCTGGCCCTGACCCTGGACAGAGCTGGGCTGAGGGTTAGGCCTGGGTTCTGTTCACTATGTGCCCCAGGCTTCCCTGACTCAAGTGCATGGTGAGCCAGGAGAGAATGTGAGCTGTCCAGAGGACCACTGGTTCCAGTGTCTGGAGGACTGCCCTCCATTGGATGTGCTCTATCCCCCAGGTTTGAAAGGAAGGGCCTGGTAAGTGTCTGAGGCTGTGAGAGTGGGCACTGGGCTGGGAGGCTGGTTCCCCAATGCCTGTATTTTCCTCCATCACTGCACCGGGGCATTGCATCAAGGTCTTCTGTGTCTCCATCTGCCTTCCACTCTCGTCCTCCCCACAGGAGTTAGGCACTGGAGCAGCTCCTACCTGGGACTCCGTAATGCAGTGAGGTCCCTGTCAGGGGAGGAGAGCCCCCGTGAACCCTTAATTCCTTTGATATGGAAGCAAAGGCAGATGCCATACTAGCCTGTCCCCATTCTGCAAGGTGAGTCCCCTCATTCCCAGGAATCCTTGAGGTTGGTGAGATGGTACATCCACAGACTAGGGATTCTTGGTGCCTTGGAATCACACCCTGACTGTTTTGTGGTTCAGGCTGTGGCTGGTGGTAACTATCTTTGGGATCTTGGGTCTAGAGTTTTGTGCAAGTCAGGTCCCTCTGTGAGAAGAGGTAGGACAGAAACCCCAGCCTAGGACCTCCTGGGGGACATGAGCTCACTCACAAGGTAGAGATGGAGGTGGGTGGGTCTAGTCCAGTCTGACTTCTCACTGTTAGGAGACCCCTGTCGTCCCTTCTAACACTATGAAGGGTGAAGGCCCCATCTCCCTGGGCCAGCACCAGGCACTTCCCAGCTTCCTCTAGTGTAGTTGCTCCTGTATCTACACGGAACGTGCTTTGACCATCAGCATGCGAGGTGGTGTGTGGTGTAGTTTTTCCTTCCCCTTAGAGCCCAATGCACTGCCATTGAGTTGATTCTGACTCATAGTGCCTCTATAGGACAGAGTAGAACTGTACCATAGGATTTCCAAAGCTGTAAATCTTTAAGGAAGCCAACTGCCTCATCTTTCTCTCAGGGAGTGCCTGATGGGTTCGAGCTGCCCACATTAAAGCAGTTCAATGCTTTAACCACAATCCCAAAAGAGTTCCTTTCTCCTCCTTATAGAAGTATTTATTGCGTATGTGTTATGTGTTAGGTTCTGGGTTAGGCAATGGAATCCCACAGTGTACAAGAACGATGTATTTGCAACTATAGACATAATTATAATGGAGAGACAGGCTATGAAAGGACAAGTGTCTGATGTATCTGAGCTGGTTTGGAGATGAGTGAGCTGCCCTGGGAAGAGAATTTTTGGCTGAGCCCCGAGCATGAGTGGACGCTATTGAGTGAAGGCAGAGGGTGAGGAGGGGGAGGAGCCTTGTGGAAGGGGAATGGCCTTAAGGGGGCAGAATCTGGATGGAGCTCACAGAGTCCAGTGTTGGGGGAGCTCGAGAGTGAGGAGGACTGTGGACTGACATGACGCTGGTGAGGCTGCCGGGCTGTGGCTATGCTGAGGAGGATC